TGCTCTCTGTGCTCACATATACTGTACTGTAATATATCCCAATCCATAAAGCTGTTCTATTTGACATATTTTTCCATTTCCATTTAAAGTGTGACTGAAACGCAGCCGAGAGTACGTGTTAACCAGCAGTATAAAGTCATAATACTAATTGTGAAAAGTTGTGGTTTCAAACAGGAAAAAAAAAAGCAGAAATCAATTTTCTTTTGTAATTTTTTTCTTTTGTAATGCCCAAACAAAAAAAAAAAAAACAGCTACAAAATACATTTTCTGCCAATTTACCCCCCAAACCTCCAGTGTTTTCATTTAAACTGTGACTGATGAATTTGTTCCTGGGACAGAATTGGCAGTAGATTATATAACTGCTGGTGACCAAACAAGTCCTGCTTTCGGTGAGAACTTGTTGTTCTCTCTCTCTTTTTTATTCTTTGATGCTGTAATAGACAGAATTCTTTGTCACATGAGACATCTTGAAAAGTACAGCTGTTATTAATAACACTGCATATGAACCATTTCCTGGAAGCAGTGAAATGGAAGTCAGCTGTCAATAATGTTAGTATTTACACCTGAGATTTTCCTGCAGTCACCAGAACGAGGCTCATTCTGTCCATGTCGGTTCATCAATCTGAGAGATGGCAGTGCCTACAAGCCCGCAGGTTTAGCCAACAAAACTAGAAACCTGGAACAAGCTCAGCTGAACATGCAGAGAGGATAAAAATGTCCAAAAGCCTCACTAAACAGCTGCAACAAGTGCGTCACATGACTGTAGATGGGAGCGAATAAGCGATTCTGTCTGCAGCACACTGACCTCATGAGCTGGTTGTACTTGGCCAGCCGCTCAGATCTGCAGGGGGCCCCGGTCTTAATCTGCAATAGGCAGACACAGACAACTCAGAAAACAGACAGAGAAAATACTGCTCTGTGAAATGTAAAATTATGAAAATGTCACAAAGTCATCAAAGGCATTTTTTTTTACTATTGGTGAGTTTCACACACTATGTAGATATAAAGGTTATAGTTGAACCTACAGTGTTGAACTTTTGTCCCCTCCCAGTCTTTCTTTTTCAGACTACAATCCTTCGTCTGAATTGTCTTTTTTTAACTGCAGCATCAGAAACTTTTCTTGGTTTCATCATAGTCCTAGTTAATGGAGCTTCTCCATCGCTGTGGTTGTTCCACTCTTCAGCTCTGGCAAACCAATCATTGCTGCTTGATGCAAAATGCATCGCTACCAATGCAGGAGTGTCACCACAGAGTTAAAACTCTTAAAACAGATTTATCTGCTGTGGTCAGGTTTAACTGTCTGAATCCCAAAACCAGCCAGTGGGTTTAAAATGCCTGATATCTAAAAAAAAAAAAAAACATCATCAAAATGACTCAATTTTTCAGCCAGAAACAGAAAAAGCTAAATTGTCATATTTTCCCATTTCTGATGGTATTTAAACCACTTATCTGTGATGTGTTGTTCTGTCAGAAAACACGACATTTTATCACATTTGCTTTATTCTACATGTCTTGTTTAAAAAGTTGACAAAAATAGAACACACACAAAAAAAGATTCTGTAGATTTTGTGCAATTGTTAAACTATGACTAACTCAGTTGTGACCAACAGTCATGTGACTAAAACTGAGAGACTTTTGACCTGGACTTGGCTGAACTGCAGGCTGTGTTTACACAGAGCAGATAGAAGACAACTATAGACACTTATTAGAAATGTAAAAAGTTTCTGTAGAGTTGCAGGACTTTTTACTGCAGGTAAAAATCTGCCAACAGTGAGTAGAGATGTGACAGAGGCAAATAAAAACCCCAACAAAAGATACCCTAAAACTGCTTTAAGTTTCGACGGTCAGTGCAGCAGCTGTAAGTTTAGATAAGGAAGAACAACTGAAGATTCAGCTGAGTGTCTTAAGCTTATGTAACTTCTTCTCTCAGACTCAGTGTACTTAATTCAGCTGGTTTTACATTTTGAAAAGTGCTTGAATGGTTAACTCACATTTTGGAGGCAGGACAGCAAAAATCACCTTGAAATGATTTACGTTTCACTTTACAAGGACTTGCATCCCATTTGTAGACAACAAGCAGGTCTCCAGATTTATCAGTACATTAACATTTAGATTTGATGCAAATTTAGGAGCAAGGTTTAGGTTTGAGTTACCTGTCCAGTGCAGAGTCCCACCACCAGGTCGGCGATGAAGGTGTCCTCTGTCTCTCCTGAGCGATGGCTGACCATCACACCCCAACCATTGGCCTGAGCCAGCTTACACCTGAGACACAGAGACGAGATCAGAGTTTGATTTCAAAATAATCTGTTTGTCCAGCAATTAATCCCTGAAAAAGTAATTTGCAGAGTAAACACAAGGCCCTCAAAATGAAAAATGGTTGCTTTGTGGAAACATGAAAAACCGGTTGATGGTAAATACAAGCGAATCTGTGAGGATGCACTGGGGTGCTATAGGCTAAATGCTAATATAAGTATACTAATTTGCTCACAGTTGCTGTTTTAACATGCTGATATTCATGTTTACCCCATCCACCATCTTAGTTTAGTGTTTGCGGGATTATATTTGGAGAAAGACATTATTTGGTCAAATAAACCCAAAGTATTGGACAAATTAAAATTGTGTCCTGATGATGGCAGTAGATGGAAACTCAAATTCATCCTCGTTTTGCACCAAATGCCATGATGATCTAATAGTTGTCACTACAATTTACAAAAAACAAACAAACAAACAAAAAAGCCAGCCTCACAGGGACAATCATAGTCATTGGGGTTTTTCCTCTGGGGACTGTAAATGTCTTTACTCAAGTTTTTTTCCCCCACATCTTCCATTAAAGTAGTCAAGAAAAAACATCCAAAATACACATTTATTTGACCACACTTTGTCTATTTGATATTTATGCAGATTACTGAACATTTAATGAGATAACACCTCATTTGCAGATGTACCACTTTTTTGCTATAAAGAGAAGAAAGTCATTATAATTTCCCAAATATTTCCTTTCCTTCCTATTAATAGACAAACCTGTTAACTTCAAGTTTAATACGAGAAATATTTATACAATTAAATACAATTAGTTTTATAATTTTCCATTGATTTGTTTGTTAACTGTGGGATATCTCATATAATTACGGACCTTGTTTTTTCAATAAAAATGTTGAAAGAATCAGTGTGTAATATTTCTTAACATCAGTAGTCTATCAAAAATATGTTTTTTTTTTTATCATTTCTCCTTGTATTTATTATTTTGTGTATGTAATTTCATTGTTTTTACGCAATTAAATATCTTTCATCAAACATTTAAAAAAACAAACTAAAATGTTAAGGCTTGAAAATGTATTTGAATAATGGGAAACTACTCTACATTTATGGTTACTTTACAGTATTTTTTTTTTTTTTTTTTTTTACAGTGTGTGTTTATTGCACAAGTCTATAAATCTGATAATGATTCATTTGTAACTGCAGCTCCTCTGACAGCTGCTAACAACATGAAAATTAAGCTGTACATGATGCTTTGGGGTTCTTGTGATTCCCACTCAGCCAGCGGCACTATAAGAAGTAGCCGATATATCAGATTAACGATGCAGGAAGCTCTTCATGTGACGGATGCAATTCATCACCTGCACTGTCATCAGCCCTGTTTCCATCATTTAATCGTTTGTGCCCCCTCCTCCTCTCCCGCTGCTGTAATCCAGCCACACTGTCATGACTGATAGCTTCATAACCCTGAGTGACATTTTGTTAAGTCTCAGATTGATGACACGCATTCAGGATAGAAGTACACACACTCTCTCTACAAAGATATCAACAAAGATAAGATAGATGCACGCAACAGCGGCATCCAGCTGTACATCTGACTGACAGCTAATCTTCATACTAAAAACCTCCTGTCCCTTCCTGTCCTTCATTCATCTTCTGTAAATGTCTGTTTGTTGCAGCTAGTCTTTGGCACAAGGTCAACATGGCTGACAGCTGACAACTGACGTGACTGACAACATGGCGGCTGATAGCAACACAGCTGTGCCAAGGCGGACGACAGTCCTCTCCGAGTCCAGTGCCTGTCTGAGGTGGCCATGTTAGATTCTTTCGGAGGTGATGCATCTCAGGTCTGTTTGGTGGCACCTGAAAGTTATTTGATGCCTTACAATTTCAGCATGTTTTTGGATCTTTGAAACTAAGTCTTTAAACTCTGTGAGACTGAACCTAAAATGTATAGTTATTACTCAAGGGTTGATCACAAAGTTTTGAGATTGTCCATAGTAGGATGTCCCATAACATCAGGATATGAGTTGTAGGTGTTTTTCTGACTAGAGCAGCGATTAAACATCACATTCGGTGTCAGTCAGAAATTGCAATGATCCAGCCTTCATGTTGAGGATCGTTTCTGGGTACAAAACGTGGTTCTGCAGCGACCACTAAGAGGCCAAACAGCAGTTTGTACAATGGAAGAAAATTGAACCCATAGAGACATAAAACTGGCAAGAAACACAAAACAGCCACACCTCAAATGGTCCTTAGGTTACTAAAAAAGAAATGCTCTGCCTGATCTGAAGGACTGTTGCACACTGGCTTTCTCCTTTCATGCAAATAGTCTGTTTACTTTCAAACAAAGCAGACGTACGCCTGGATGGCTTCGGTGACTGAGCCGATCTGGTTGACTTTGAGCAGCAGGCAGTTGCAGGCTCGTTCCTCGGCTGCTTTCTCTATCCTCTTGGGATTGGTCACCGTCAGGTCGTCTCCGACAACTTGGATCCCCACCTGGGCCGTCAGACGAGACCAGGCCTCCCAGTCATCCTGGTCGAATGGATCCTCGATAGACACCACTGGAAGGAAGGAAGGAGGGAGACATGTTGAAGGAGGACTATCATCTTATCCCTCTAAACCAAGAGAAGGCAAAGTTTGCATTTGATCTGAGTTATTTAATGTTTAGTATTTACTGACACCCAATGCTACTTTACTGTAGAATGAACACCTCATCCTCCCACAAGGTCCAAAAACATGTTGAGGTTAATTGATGATTCTAAATTGTCCGTAGGTGTGAATGTGAGTGTGCTTGGTTGTCTGTCTCTAAGTGTAGCCCTGTGATAGACTGGTGATCTGTCCAGGGTGTCCTCTGCTTCACCCTAAGTTGGCTGGGACAGGCTCCAGTGCCCCTGCGACCCTAGTGAGGATTAAGCGGTGTATAGATGATGGATGGATGGATGAACACCTCAAGAACTGTATGTGGTTGCGCCACCAGCTGGAACCTCAGCTAACAAAGGGGCACCATGACAAAGTCTTCTATGATGTTTAATGGACACCAA